CCCCCCCTCAGATCTCTATAAATGCCCACAAAAGGGCCACATCACCCTGGGCACACAGCCACACAGCCCGGAAGACCCACACCAGCCATCGTATGCCGGCCGTGAAAGCCTTCGACAATAGATTGATTGATTTGTTTATTTATTTAGAAACTTCTATGGCCGCTAACTTCTATTATCCAAGATAATCCTAGGTGGCTCACAATAATATTAAATAGAATAAATAAAACAAACCAACCCCAGGACAGCATCGCATATCCCAAATGCAGTGGCACAATATCATATAGTCTCCCTATACTCTTATATCTGCTGGGCTTGCTTCTATCCTAGCCCAGAGCCTGGGTGAAGAGCCAGGTCTTCACGGCCCTCCAAAAGGCTAAGAGGGTGGGGGCTCTCCAACTCTCAGAGGGGAGACTGTCAAAGAGGGTCGGGGCAGCCACAGAAGAGGTCTATTTCTGAGGTCCTGCCAGATGACAACATTTAAGCGAGAGGACCTGAAGCTTGCCTACCCTGTCTGACCTGATGGGCAGATACCCTCAGGGAGAGGTGGTCCTGCAAATAACCTGGTCCTGTGCCATTTGGGGCTTTAAATATTTTTGTAGAGACCCTTCAGAAGAACAATATGTTTAGAATTTATTACACTACTTCCCTTAGTTCATGCTTGCTTGCAGAACTGTGAATTTATAGTAGTTAATTTGGGAGCTGGGGAGGTCTGGAGAGGCTGACATTCCTAGTAAATGAAACTGTTGGATTTTGGGAGTTGGAATAAAAGGGGTTGATTTGGCAGATGGATAACTTAGTGATGTTGCCTCCATTTGGATGAATCAGGCCATTTCAAAAGAAGCACCTCTTCTTATATAGAAAATAAGATACAAAAAAAGAAATCAAACAAACCTATTTCAAATCTATCCAACATTTTTCTTTGGAAAAATTGCCAAGACTAGATTCACACAGCACAGCCTGGAGAAACGAACACTGTAGTTCCTAACCTGCCTGAGGGTCACGGGGCTCTGCAGTACAGCTAACAGTGATTTCTTTCCTCTTTACTGCAGAGTTTGATCGACACGAACTGCTGATCTATGAGGAAGTAGCTCGAATGCCCCCTTTCCGCAGGAAAACGTTGGTGCTCATCGGTGCCCAGGGGGTTGGACGGCGCAGTATTAAGAACAAGCTTATCATGTCTGACCAGTCTCAGTATGGAACCACCATCCCATGTGAGTCATGGCCATGGTGGAGTATGGAACAGAGGACCTTTTGGCCAGATTTGTTCTCAGTGGGTTTCTGTGTACTTTTCTGCTATATTCTAGTAGCATTATTTAGTTGCAGAATTGGGCAAGAAGAATTTATAGGAAGTTGGAGATGGGCAGCCTGTGTGATTTTTGCCCACCAATAGGAAACTTTTTCCATTTGAGGAACAGAAGTTATCCAGAGTCAACTCTTACTTAAATGCTGACAGTGAGACAAATGTCCTTTGTTACACTTAAATATATGGGGCTCAGGGCAGCTGTATAGCATACAGGTCTGTGTTTCAAATGCTTGCTCCTGCTTCCAGTTCTCTGCATCTGTGATCTCAAGCAACTAATTCACCTTCCTCAGGAATAGCACCAGTCATGTTTTATGCGTGCTTGTGTTTTCATGGAAACCTTTTCATCATGCAATTCCTTGGTGAGAAATACTAAGCAATGCTGAGGTCCTTTTTAGTGGAAAATATTTTGATTTCACAGAGAGGCAGATTGAGCAGGAATTATGTTCCTGAAGCAACCCGTGGAGTCCTGGAGGCCGTAGCAAAAAGGTGGATTTACTCTAGGTTCTCTGTTCTCTTCGTTGAATGGATTGCCTAAGTTCTTATGAAGTTCTGCTGCAAAGATGTATCTGAGAGCCAGTGTAGTACTGTACAGTGGCTGGTATATTGGACTTAGCTGGGAGAGATTAGGTTCAAGTCCCAACTCAAACATGGAACTCCTTGGGTGACTTTCAGTCAATTCCTTTCTCTCAGCCTAACCTCTCTCACAGGGCTGTTGTGGAGATAAAATTTGGAGCGATTCCCTGTAAGCTGAACACTGAGCTCTCAGCAATAATTACTTGATTTTCTGCTATTTGTCCTTTGATTACTCAGCAGTGAGAATTTGCTAAATTAATGCTGGCTCTAACTTTTGGCCTAGTTTCTGCCATTCTTCCAAAACAGGAGAAAAATTTTTTTACAAAGCCTTAAATGTTTTGTTTTTTACTGATGTAGTCAGCCCCCTGCCCAATAACTTCATCTGCCTTGCTTAATTTAATGATTACGCAACATGAACTGTGCTTTTGAAAATGCTGTGCTAGCTTGTTTAAGCCCTGGAGAGACAGTGAGAGCACTTTCAAAGAGCTTTAAGAGTGTGTGTCACACCTTTCGTTGGCTAGTTTGATGAGCATTTGAAAGCACTTCCCCTCCTCTTTTATGAGAGATTGCAAGGCATTCTTTTAACTTAAAGAAATTTTCAGCCTGTAAGCTACAGAGAAGTATTCCTTATTTTCAAAGGATATAAAATAGAGGGGGGATAATTGCCATCCCAATTTTATCATGAAATGATTTCACTCAGAAAATTGGGTGAAGGCAACATGAGGGAAAGAGGATGCACGAGTAACCCAAGAAGGAATATACCAAGAAATAAGAAGAAAGATAAGAGGAAATATTATATCATCGGGCTCTAGAGATTAAACCCAAAAGTTTATACTAGGTCCTTATTCTTATAGGAACCCAGTGAAGGATCTGCTGAGATATGGAGAAACAAAATAAGGTCCAGGACCATGCAAAAAGCATTCTTCTGGACCTGGATCAAGAGGAAGGACTATGTACCTGTTCTGGCCTAAAAAGATTGCCAAACTCTGTTCTAACTGAACCCAGTTTCTTAATCTATCTCTGACAGACACTTCACGGAGGCCCAAGGAGCATGAAAAAACTGGACAAGTGTATAGCTTTGTGACTAGAAGTGAGATGGAGAGAGACATCAAAGCAGGCCGCTATCTGGAACATGGTGAATATGAGGGGAATCTCTATGGAACCAAGATTGACTCTATCCATGAGGTCGTTGAGTCAGGCAAAATGTGTATCCTGGATGTCAACCCACAGGTAGGGAGCCTTTCCCACTGTCCACTGGTTACTTAGGTAAAAATTTGTGTATTTACAGGATTTGGGATACTTTGGATTTCTGTAATTTTTAAAAATCTAAGTATATCTGTATAAATTCTCAATATGCCAGTTTATTCAATTGTAATAATCCTAACTAACTATGACAGAGAAATGGGAATCCCCCAAATTCAGTTTTCTCTCTTATTATTCAAATGGTGACATTTGTTCTGTCTCACGTCCATATCACTTTGCAAATGGTATCTCCACACATTTTTCTCCTAACTTATGTGGAGAAGCTAACAATTTAGCATATTAGACAAATCAGCTGTTCTCTAGGTCACTGTCTACCTTGGTTTGTTTGTCTGTATGAACTCAGGGTACTGAATTAGTGTTGTGCTAACCTGGAAAATGGAATAATACCACGACCAGGTTAAATACCAGGTTAAATGTGTGACTACAGAAAGAGTGAATGGCATCTCTGTTTTGTATAGTTACCTAGCATGTGTGGAAAGACAGGTATTTGTACTGGCAGTCATTCTCTTTGTTGGATATTTGGATAGGCTGTGAAGGTGTTGAGGACAGCTGAGTTCGTCCCCTATGTGGTGTTCATTGAAGCACCAGATTTTGAGACTTTACGAGCTATGAACAAAGCAGCTTTGGAAAGTGGTGTGGCTACTAAGCAACTCACGGTGAGTCTCCATGGGGAGGTTTCAGAGTCATGGAATTGAGAAGTGACAGGTTGGGAATGGAGCTAACTATCCATGCCAAATTGTTTAACTCGATGAGAACCAAAATCTGAACTTCTAGAGTTTGTGTGGAGAATATACTATCGAACTGTGATTATAATTCAGTGACCTATAACGGGGTGGGTTTACCTTTTGTTGGCCCAGAAGCCGCACTTAACGTTATTTGGAAGGCTGAAAGCTTCAGTGGGTGGAGTGATGGTGCAAAGTGATTGAGGCCATGTTATGCACAAGTGGAGTCAGCATTTTATTTTTATCCCTTAGTTTGGGAGGGGGTCTTGTTCTGTTTTTTTTTTAACTATATTAAATTTATTTTAGGGACTGTGCCACAGTTTTTGTGTGTTTGCATGTCAGAGTGGTGTGAAACCCACTTGAAGAACTTCAGTGGTTGCCTTCCTTTGATTTACAGCCTGCTCTGCTTTTTTGTGTATTTAACCAGGATGCTGACCTGAAGCGGACAGTGGATGAGAGCTGCCGAATCCAGCGAGGCTATGGGCATTACTTTGACCTCTGCTTGGTCAATGATAATATGGAGCGGACATTCCAGCAACTTCAGGAGGCCTTGCAGAAGCTGTACAGTGAACCACAGTGGGTTCCTGTCAGCTGGGTTTACTAGAAGGGAGCTCCCTCTGCTGTCCATAGCCTGAGAGCCTTGGTTTTCCCCACCTTCTACTGTCTCCATTTTTGCCAGGGGACCTAGATTTCTTATCTGCCCATGTCCCTTTTCAACCATCAAGCTTATCCAGGTGTCTAGGCTGTGTAAGTTAAACTCAGTTTGCCTCACTCTATTCTAAAGAGAAAGTGTTTCCTCATTCCATTGCAGAACACCTTCAGCCTACCAGGAATTCTTTTTACTGCCATAAGTGAATGGATGTCCCTCATCCCCTCCTTTCCTTTCCTTTCCTTTCCTTTCCTTTCCTTTCCTTTCCTTTCCTTCCTTCCTTCCTTCCTTCCCTTCTTTCTTACAGTAAGTTGTTTAATTATGAATTCAATGTGGTGGACACAGAATTGGAGGAGGAGAGGAGCAGAGCTACAAAATACCCACAATGCCTTGCTAGATTTGCTACTCCTGATCCTCTCGGTTCATAACTCATCCATTGTGAGATGAGAAGGATATTTCTCCAGTCACAGCTAACTCACTGCCAAAACCCCTGTTTTTCTAGATGGACCACAATTCTGATATTGCCAAAAGGACCGTCAGCCTGAGATAATTGGATGTCTTGCTCACCGAGATTGTTGAATCAGGGCAGAATGCCTTGCCCCACTGTAAGCCTGGTCTGCAATACTGTTGCAAGATTTAAAGGGGATTTATGGATGCATCCATAAAAGGTTTATAGTGGAAAATTATGATTGATGGGTCTGTTGGTAGGAACTTTGGTTCAGAAACTAATGCCTTGGAGACACTAGGACAGTGCCACAAATGCAGTGATAAGAAGTATGTGTCTCAGTTTTGCTATCTGTAAAATGGGGCTAAGTATAATGGGGATTATGTTTACACTCTGTGGTATTATTTATGAATATGGAACCCCTCACTGCAAAGAATTGCTTTGGCATATTCAGAGTGCAGATCTCTTGCTTGAAATCTTGGAGAGTTATTCCAAATCATAATAGACGAGGTGGATTAGTAGTCCAGCCGAATCAGACAGCTTCATATAAAATTTCCTATGTTCAGCTGGGATTTGTTCCTCATCCTACCAGCCTTTCAGAAACTGATGTATTAATAGGGAAGATACTTGGCTGTTAAGGAAAACAACAGAAATTATTTCAGCCTTCCTCAACCTGGGTGCCTTCCAGGTTATGGACTTCATCTTCCAGAATTCCCAGTCATGTCATCCTGACTGGAAAATTCTTGGAGGTGAAGTCTATACATCAGGAAGATGCCAAGTTGGAAAAGACTGACTTGTACTAATCATGGATCCAAATTGCTGCTGCTTCACGTTGATTGTAAAACATGCTGATGCATACCACAAATCTCTTCCCCACTGTTTCTATATCCATTCAGCACAGGCTTCTCAACCTACACCATCCACATGTGCGAACTTCAGAACTCCCCAGGCAGCACGGCCATTGCTAAGAATGCCTCATGTTGAGAAAGGCTGATCAGTTCCTTGGTTGGGCCAACCTTGCCTTCAGTGGGATTCCGTTGGGTTGGAGGAACGGCCGTGATGGGCCGTCCAGTTTCTCTCCATCTTGGCTTTTGCCAGAATGCTTCAGTGCTTCTTGATTCTAGGGTTCCTGACAGAACAACTACCACTACCTCACATACTATGGCAGCTGTTACATGATGGTAGAAGCCTTGGGCTCAGCTTTTCACTGCCAGTTCTAGAACGGCATTTCTAGCAGCCCTTTTGTATGCATCTATTTCTTTATTTCCTCCTGTCCTCATTCTGATTTTTTCCACATCTTAAATGATGCTTGGAAAGATGCTGAGTCTGGCTTTAATTGGTTGGAACAGGGACACAGCAGTGTGAAGGGAAGAGATTAACAGCCCTGATGGATCTAGCCCAGAGTTTCTCAACCTTGGCAACTTTGAAAACGTGTGGACTTTAAATCCCAAAATTCCCCCCCCAGCATGGCTGGGTGGGGAGGTCTTGGAGGTGGGGGTCACGGTTTTATAGTAGGCAAGGCT